TCAGTAAATACTACATCCACGACGTCTCGGACCTCATTGATGTAAGTGCTTCCTCCCCCTGCATGCATCCTGCCCACTTTCTGCTGCCGAGTGCTCAGCTAGGTCCCAAGCATGATTTGGTCCTTAAACGCGCTCTCATGTGGTGGTAATGAAGGGGTGGTTGTTGGGGCTTTACAATATGCTTAACTGGGGCCTGAAAATGTGCTGTAAATTTAGATATCTTTTTTTTTTTTCCCTCCCCCGTGGTGTTTTTTTTCCTCCCAGCTGCCACCCATGCATTTGACTTTCCTCCCAGTTGATGTAGGCGTATCTGAGCAGAGCTAGAGCTGCCATTATATGGGAGACGCAGGCTCATAGAATGCTTGGGGTTGGAAGGGGCCTTTAAAGATCATCTGGTCCCACCCCCTGCCATGGGCAGGGCCATCTTTCACTGGGTCAGGCTGCTCAAAGCCCCATCCAGCCTGACCTCAAACGCCCCAATGATGGGGCACCCACAACTTCTCTGGGCAACACCAGAACCGGCCTTCTCTGAACTTCATGGTGGCCGCATGATCGCACAACAAAGCGTGTGATTCGTATTTATGCTACACATAAACTTCTTTCATCAGTGTCTGGAAGAAAAGGTGGAGTTTTTCATTATAACTGCAGGGCATGAGGCAGCCCGAACCAAACACTTCCCTGAGTGCCTAGGCAGGGGAGCCTGGACTGGCCTGCACGGGTCAGGCACGTCTCGTACGGCGACAAACTGGAAACCACTTGAATGTTGGTCTGCACCTTTCCCACTGCATCACAAGCACGCTAAGGTCTGCTTGTCGGTGAATGTTGGCTCTGCCTTCCGAACCGCGCGGATGTGGTGCTTCCCTTCGCATTAAAGCAGTGGCTTTGTCTGCTGTGGCTCCCACACAGCAGGATGTCCTCCAGCTGGAGCTTGGCAAAGTCCAGAGCCTTTGGAGGAGAATTTGCCTTGGGGAAGGCAGGTGAGCCTGAGGTTTCCTCCTGGCCCATCAATTAGCCTGCATTTGAGACAGATAAGCTCTTACAGAGCTCAGCTACATCCTCAGTTTTGTTGTTGGAACAGAAGATTTTTCTTTCCATCTGCAGTTCCTATCAGCAGGGCAGGCACCCAGGTCCCCTCGGCCTCGGAGGCGGTGAAGCGCAGGCAGGCAGTGAGGCGCACGTGGAGGCGCGTGCCGCGCTGGGGACGGCGCGTGCCCTGTGCCGAGCTGTGTCTGAAGCGGTCGCTGCACGCAGTAGCCCCAGGGCAGGAACTGCTGGAAGCAGGTTTTGTAGCGATGGTAGGAACCGAATGCGTGTGTGTATCAGCCACTCCTGCGAGCTGCTTTTAAATGATTCAAGAGCAGGGATTTCCATTTCTCCCTTTAATGGCATCTTCACAGTGGCAGAGATTGCACTATGCGGGGTTTCTTCCTGCTGGAGTTGCTTCAATGAGCACATAAATCACCGATCTATAAGTACCGAGTTAGTCTTCTGGCTTCATCATTACCTAAATGTGTAATTTAAAAATGTGCTGGAGTGTTTATCTCCTTTGCTAATCCACTGACATCTATTTATTCTTCTAAGCATTAATTAAAGGTGGCCTGATGCAAGACCCCTGATGACTTCAAGATTTTGAGATACGATAAGATGTTCTTACATGTCCTTTTTGTTCTCTTTACCATTTGAGATGTATTAAGCCATATTAAAAACCTAACAGCTTGATCGTGGAGACGTTTGAACAGCAAGGTGCACGATAACACCCTGATTTATCTGTGGGGTTTCTGCTCTTCATTGAATATGTGCTCGCTTTCTTATTTATTTTTTGAGCAAGAATGACTGATTTTCATGGAGTTTTGGGGACTTTGATTTCCTGGAGAGTTGCTGAGTTCCATTTTAGGTCTGGCTGTTTATATTATTCCTCCCGACTTTATTTCCTTGCTGACACTTCCAGTGGCGTCAGCAGATGGCTTTTCTTCCGCACTCCAGGAATCCCTTCAGGGGACTTTGACTAAAGCATCCTCAGCTCTGTGCAGCTAAACGCCCCTGATGATGTATTCTGTTCACCAAGGAAAACAGAATATCGGATGTGTGAGCAGCACATGGGTGTCCTAATTTTAAACCCCCAAAGGAAGGGCCGTTCGTTTGAACAGACTCTTGTACAAATTCAAGATATTTTGCAGGAGCATGGCGAGAAGGGTGTCAGCATGCTCCGGAGGAGGGGGATCCCATTCGCTGTGTCCCGCTAGTACTGAAAGCAGTTGAAGAAAAGGCAGCCGTGGGATCCACAGCGTTGGGCTTTCTGTAGGTGTGCGGTCCGTGTGTAAGGAAAATGAAGAAAATGGATATTTTTAGAGGCAGTTACAGAGTAAGTGTGTTAATGTTAGAAGAAGACGGTGCCTCAGGCTCCGGAGCAGCAGCGCCCCTTGCAGACACCGGGTCTGTGCCATGGCCGTGTGCCGGATGCGGGTCCCCTGCCCTGCGGGGCAGCCTGGCCGTGGCGTGGGACGCAGCAGCGGGGCTCTGGGCAGAGAGGGGGAGTTTTGCCTTCGCTGGAGAGGCAGCAGAGCCCCTGCCTGC